CCTGTCCTCCTGCCCTCCTGTCCTCCTGTCCTCCTGTCCTCCTGCCCTCCTGTCCTCCTGTCCTCCTGTCCTCCTGTCCTCCTGGCCCCTGCCTGAGGACAGTCTGTCTCAGGTTGGGAGAAGTTACTGATCAACTGCAGCTGATCGATACAAGCAGAGGAGGAGCTGTGGGACACAACGCAGCAGGATAAAACCTGGTGAGGAGGCAGACTGAGGAAGAAGAGCAAAGTGTCCATGATGATGATGAAGCTGCTGCTGCTGCTGCTGTCCCTGTGTGTCTCTGTCTCCTGGACTCAGGACGTCCTGGAGTATGACGACTATGATACGGTGAGCATTTATCAGTGAAATCATGAATTTAATTTAGGTTAAAACAGCTGATATTTTAATTTTTAACATAATTTAATTAAAAATATGTTAAAGAATAAACACAAACAGGATCAGTCAGAAACCAAAACATTCAGTTAAAAACAATAAAAACAACAAAAAGGATATTTTATAACAATTATTTTATATCTACAGGATGTCAAAGCTTTATCAAACGGAACGGTAAGAAGAACAAACAAGTTTAACTTTGTGTTGCGTTTGATTGGTTTTTACTAACTTTATATTTGTGTTTAAAGGCGGCGACTGTAGACGCCCGAGGTCACCGTCCGATAACAGGAGCCAGAGAAACGTACACGGCCAACAAGAACAGCCCTCCTCCAATCAGCGGAGGCAGCAGGTGACACCCACACCTGCAGAGAGTTACACAATAATACATTAAATACTGTTATAAACTTTCAGTCTGAACGAGCAGAAACACGTTACAGTTCTGTTCAAATGACAAYAATCAGAGGTTGAAACATCCTGCTGGAATTCTGCTTTAAATTTGAAATATGATTAAATTTTCTGTATCTGAGAATCACAGGATGATAAGTTATTTAAATAAATTAAAACAGTGTTTAATGGAACAGTTATTCTATAAAAAGAAACATAAACCTGTTCTGAAATATTCAAATTATGAAGGGTTGTTTAGTGATAGGTYGTTTTATGTATTTTGGACCGTGAGTCTGCAAATAAAGCACATCATCATCATCAAACTTCAATTTTACCCAAACAAAAACACACTAAATGTGATTTTCTGTGTGGCTTTGGAGCATTTTCCTGACAATAACACAATAATTCCTGTAAATTCCCACATGCAGCTCAGCTTACTGTTGGTTGTGTTCAGGTACCGCGGCCGACCCACTGCAGCGCCGCTCGGAGGCCCCCAGCMGCAGGAGAAAATAGAGCAACCCGAGGCCGGAGGATGCACTCACGCTTCAGAGGCCATGGTACGAAAACACCCCCMCAAGTCTGAAAACTCAAAAAACATTCTTAGAATCACTTTTTTTCTTTTTCAAACTGGGCTCAACACGTTCAGAACTACATGTAAATAAAGACAAATAAAAGACTGTTAACTCCGAGACGTTTTGTCCTTCAGGGGGTCCTGTGTCCCACCGGCTGTGAGCTGAAGAACATGCTGCTGAAACAAGAGAGGAACGTGAAGTCGGTACGGTTCTGATTTCTAACGACGACCAAAGCAAAGGAGAAYAAATCCAAACCAGCAGTTACTGGGAACTGATTCAAGCCACAATCTTTAAAATGGTTTTTATTTCTAAATGTTTTAATGGCAGGCCGTTCATCAGCTGAAGCCTGCCATCGAGGAACTGTCCAGCTCCTCCAACAACATCTACAACTACGTCCACGGCATGTCCAACTCTCTGAGGGAGAGACAGAGGGTCTTCACCGGTGAGACCAACAGGATCACCTTTCAAACYTTAATATGAAAACTGCAGCTGTTACAGACATTAAAATACTTATTTTAATCAAAGAGACATTTATTCATTTAAAATAAATAATATTTGTCACCTTTTACACATTAAAACAGCTGTTTTATGTTAATTTAAACTTTAAAACAGTTCATCCAACGTAACAAACACCTTGAGAGTTGATACAGGTCAAATTAAATCAAATTAAATTCACGTTACATGAACAGTAAGTCTTAATGTTCCATAAATATTATTGATTTGTTCCATGTGCTGATTCCTGCAGACAACAACAGGGTCATGGGTCAGTACACGGATCAGGTGGAGGAGCAACACGCCTACATAAAGGAGACGGTGGACACCGTCTTCCCCTCAAACATCAGAGTGCTGCAGGTAAAACATCAGCCCAAACYAAAGCGTCGTGGCTGCACAGCGAGCTAGGTTTCCTGTAAAATAAAACATTAATGCTGAAGAAACTGAATTATTAAAGCTAAATGAAGAAAAATWATATAAACGTAAAGAAGCTAAAGGCTAGCTAACAAACAAAATATAGATAGAAGCTGAAGTACCGCATGGTTAATTAAAAGTACCCGAAAGTTAGCTAGAAGAAAAAAGTAACAAAAACCTAACTTTAAGCTAAACGTATCAAAAGCTAGCTAAAAGCTGAAAGTAGCAGAATGGTAGCTGAAAGTAGCAAAATGCTAACAAAGGGCTAGGTAATAGTAGTAAAAAATTAGCAAAAATGCTAAAAGTAGCAAAAGAATCTGAAACTGAAGAGGATTTCAAAGAAAGCAAAGTTTTCAAAGTTACTAAMACTAAAAGTCCGAGCGCTCGGCGCCTGAACGAGCTGAACGTTTTAAATAGCACAAATGCTCAACGCTGACTCAGCATCCAGTCAATAAACCAAACACCATAACTGTAATKTATGATTCTCTTGGTTTCAGGGGGTTCTGGACAAGATCAAGCAGAAGATCCAGGCCCTGGAGAAGGCCATTCAGGCCCAGAAGGACCAGTGCAAGGACCCATGTATCACCAAGTGTCCCATCCCCGTGGTCTCTGGTGAGTGAATCATTTTAGACACTGAAATCACTGCTTTGGACGGACTTTGTCTGAATTCAGCAAATGCTGCGTAGCTCTGAAGACCAACAATATTTAGTTTAGAGTTAGAGTTTGACAATAATACATCTATTTGACTTCTTTGTGATTCCAGGTAAGGAGTGTGAGGACATCTACCGACGAGGAGGACGAGACTCTCAGATGTATCTCATCCACCCGGACACCCTCAGCCCTCCGTACAAAGTCTTCTGTGATCAGACCAGTAAGAACGGAGGTACGTTACCCCACCTGTTTTACATGAGTTTTATATCCGGGATGTCTCCACAAACAGAGTGTCTCTGTCCTGCCTCCAGGCTGGGTCCTCATCCAGARCAGACTGGACGGCAGCGTGGACTTCGGCCGGCGTTGGGACGAGTACCGCCGCGGCTTTGGCAACATCGCCTTCACTTCTGAAAAGGGTTTCTGTGAGACTCCAGGTAGGACCTTCAACGACTCTYACACTTCAGCTGTAAATCATGGACGACTGTCTACACAATAACAACATCCTCCCTCTCGTCATGTCAGGTGAGTACTGGCTGGGAAATGACCGCATCAGTCAACTGACCAAGATGGGCCCCACTGAGGTTCTCATTGAGATGCAGGACTGGACTGGGGCCAAGGTATTCAAATTTTTGATGACTGGATTGTTCTTTAAATGAAACAAGATGTTTAAAGATTAAATAYCTCTGAAGATAAAAGGGTAAAATATTCCTGTCTTCACGTTTAGGTGCACGCCCAGTACAACCAGTTCACCATCCAGTCAGAGACGGCGAATTACGTGCTGGCCGTTGACGGTTACTCTGGCAATGCTGGCAACTGTTTCCTGGAAGGAGCTCTGGAGCTTTTTGGCGTGAATCGTACCATGACCATACACAACGGCATGATGTTCAGCACGTATGACMGAGACAACGACAACTGGTGCGTCTGATAAACGTCACCAAACTTCAAAAACAATCAATCTAGTTTCACCTCCATTGTTCTAGTCAATGATTCATTCATCAGATTATGTTCATCACTTGTTTGTGTCCTCCAGGACCCCTGGTGACCCCTCGAAGCAGTGCTCCAGGGAGGATGGCGGCGGCTGGTGGTACAACCGCTGCCACTCAGCCAACCCAAACGGGCGGTACTACATGGGCGGCAGCTACACACGAAAGATGGCGAAACACGGCACGGACGACGGCGTGGTGTGGATGAACTGGAAGGGTAGCTGGTACTCTCTGAAGGCCATCAGCATGAAGATCAGACCTTACATCGCCTCCAGATAATCGTACGGAGGGGTCGGCACGTGCAACGCAAACAGGAAGCTGTCAAAATAAAAGTTTCAGATTAATGGCATGGCAGATCACTCTGTTTGTAGATGGACACAAACACGTTTACACTCAATAAATTTGGGACAAAAAAGTTTAAAAGCAGTTTTATATATTTAATAAAAGTTCAGTTCAGCTGGGAGTAAATATGTTGTGATTCATCTTGTTGTTGTGTTTGACTTCAGTCAGGRTTAGTTTTTAAACTGTCCTCTGCTACTCAATAAAAATATTGAGGAACCTTCATTGTTTGAACGTTTTTATCTGTATTTCCTAAATAAAACGTCTTTTTAGTAACAGAAAATCCATTTAGTTTACACTTAAACATATTTCATGTAACAGATGCTAATATGATGTATTTACGAATAAAAATAAAATTACAGATTATATATACAAACAAAACTTCATAATTTAAAACAAGTTAAATAACATAGTAAGATTCCTTTACATTATTGTGACCTATACCCTGAAATAAAAGTTAATTTAAAACTATATAAAAAGGTTTTAAAAATAGTTAAATATGCACAAATAAAATAGTTTTAACTCTAATGAGATAAATGATATTCAGAGAAAGTTTACATTAGATAACATTTATTTCTTCTTGCCTTTTTACAGATTTTGAGGTAAAACTCAGGTTACTAAAGATGCCCCTCCCCCAGGCCCCGCCCATTACCTTATGTGCTGTTTTTTGAAACAAGTTATTAAAACTATCCAAACYTATATAAAAAGCCAGATTAGTTGTGTGTATATTTACAGAACATTTTCAAATATTCATAAATCGGTGTAAAACGCATCACTGCACTATGACGACTCAGTCTGAGCATAAATATAAAATACATACATCCAGTTTAGTTTAATAAGAACCTTAAAAACTAAATTTTTGGTTCCCTAACAGTTTAAATTTCTACTGATAATCTGTTTTAGTCCTGGTTACATGAAAGCATTTTTAAAACCTTGAATAAAAAGTTTATTACAGTCTAAATAAATCAGGGTAATTTGTTTATCATCTCTGTTTTTTGGTCAGGCTCTGCAGAGGTCAGAGTGTGGACTTCTGCAGACCCGTTCAGCTCCAGGACAAGCTGATTCAGTCCGATGTCCTCAAACTGGGTCAGCAGTTCTCTGTGAACCGTTGGAATAGTTCTGTATCCCGCAGACGGTACCGGGCCCACATCAACGGGCTCCAGCTTCACGTGTGGGACGTTTGGAGGAGGAGCTGCAGCTTCCTTTTTCTGTCGGACCGTTTTGTCTGTAAAGTTCAGGTCTGTTTGAAGCGTCTCGTAGTCGTGATGACGGACGCTGAACGGCAGCGCCAATCTGCAAGTTCCCCCACAGGTTCTCAGTTTCATGTCAACGTCCACCTGATRAGATGAGGACGAGGGTCAAGATGTGGACATCTCAGTAAAATAGGCCATAATAAACACCCAAACACTGAGGATTATCAGCAGCAGTGCACAGAAACACGAGTCACTCAAGCCTTACCTCTGTTCGGTACAACTCCTCCACTTGTTTCCTAACTTGGACGTTCAGATCTTTCAGGTTTTGCTCCAGGAAGGAGGACCGGTTCYGTAGTGACGTGAGGTTTCTGGTCAGATTTTCTGCTTGTTCCACAAACTTCAGTTCTGAAACTGGTAACAAAAACAAGTCAGTTTTACATCAGCAGGCCTTTATTTTGTCCAAGTAATCCAAACGAGCCGTAACTGTATCTGTTGACGATGACCCTCCGGTTAGAGTTGTACACGTCGGTCATCACCGACATGGATTTCTCGGCTGCGTCTTCATCTGTTTGTGCCGTTTTACAGACTGTCTGCAGTTTTCTCTCCACATCAAGCTCCATCTGTGAGATCAGACCCTGCAGTCTGCAGCCAGAGGGGCATTTAGAGACCTGGAGGACAAAACTCAGTAACTCAAAGTGGTGTACCACAAGGATCTATACTAGAGCCTTTATTTTGTCTTATTTTTATTGATTGTTTTTATTGTGTTTTATCTAAGATAGGAAAAATATAAACAAAAAATTTACTAGTCCATAATGTRGACCTTAATTCACTGATCAGTGTCGGTTGTTTCCACTTCTCACCCAGTCATCATCTGAGCAGAAGGGGGCGTTTGATTTTAAAGAGCACTGCTGTTTCCTGAACGTGTGGCTGGCAGACTGTCGGCCATCTTGTTTCTGCTGTTTGACCCTTAAACACACTGAAGAGGAGAGGAACACCGAGGTCAGTTTATCTAAAGTAAAAAGTCATTCTGATTTTTTGTTTGTTTGAGTGGAACAGATCTTTAAACCAGTCAAAGCTCATGTTKGTTTTGTTCTTTTTTATGTTAAGAGTTGATAACGCTGTTAAAGCTTTTTTTAATGAAGCATCACATTTACTTCTCAGGTGCTTTTAATTTTTTTAATGCATTTTTGTTTTCTTCATTGTTTGGAATAGAACATTTTATATTGTCTTGACTTTCTAGTTAATGTGCACAAATCTAACACACATTCATGCAATACTTTAACTAAAAAAGGGTTGTGCAATATAAGAACAAAAGCAAGACATCAAGAAAAACAWGCCCTTTATGGATTTTATGGAAATATTTTAAACATCTTTATTCTACATGGCAAACAGGGGCATCATTGTGGAAGTGGGGCAGAGGGGGTAACCTCCAATTTTGGCCACCCCTTAAAAACTGGTCCACTACCACTGGCCCCCCTTGGCCAGACGATTTTATTCTTCAGTCTTTGCTTGTTTTTTTCTCTAGTTTTTTGGTAGCTCTTCAAATAAATCATCTCATATCTGAAGTGGTGCAGATTTGTTGAATCTGATATATTTAAGTGTAAAATCCACTACTTGTTTTTGTTTAAGTCTCTTTATTTGTCATAAAATCTGACTTTTTTCATTTAAAATGACCTCTAACAAACTGGGTTACTATTTAGTTGGTATTTATTAATATTTAAAGAGAAATTATTGTGGTGTTTGCATGGTGGCATTAAATAAAGAGCCCAACTCTCAGCAGCTGAGGTGAAGACAGAATCTTTATTTATTGACCAGAGTTCATGTTGATCTTTACTGAGTTAAAGAACATGACAGAGAGGACATTGGACTTTTAATGCAACAAACAGGTCGATGGAGTTTACACAATGTGGTAAAATATATCAGTCAGCACAAATACACAAGACTGTTTGAAATAATTTTGAAATCCCAGAAAGATTTCCAAGCAGCTAAGTCAAGGGTCACCTTTGATTTTATAGTTTTTGTTTAATTATTTAAAAAGTAGCGGGCCGGATGAACATCCGAACAATTTTCAGGCTGTAGGTCATCGGTTTGTAAGTCACCCACACAATTCCGTTCTCAGTTTGAAAGAGCGTGCTTGTTGTTGGGTCGTATGRACCTTTGTGATAAATCCCGTTAAGGTTAGCCGACTGGCAGCTATGATACCACCACCCACCCCCGAAATCTTYGGCACAGTTCCTCGACCACTCGTCGTTGTCCTTGTCAAATGTGCTGAACTTTTTGCCGTTGTGGGACATGTCAGCCGTCTTTCCGGGCATCGTCAGAGCATCACCGGCATCTCCGGTGTACCCCGACACGTGCAGCGGGTACCCCTCCTCCTCCGTGCCCACCCTAATCATATATTCAGCAGTAGCCACGCCCCCCTCCCAGTCCTCCAGCTCCACCTTCAGCATGGTCTCGCTCTGATTGGTCAATAGATGGAGGTTTTGGTTGCCCAGCCAAAACTCCCCCTCCCCTTTATCGCTAACCGAGCCGAACCCGTCGCGGTACTCGGCCCAGGTGCGGTTGAAGCTGACTGAACCGCCGTCCCTCTGCTGGACTAACAACCACCCACCCATGAGCCCCTCCTGCTGGCAGTACACCCCCACTGCGGCTGTGGAGTCCGAGTCGCCAGGTTTGATTTTAAACAGGCCATTTGTTTCCCCTCTCCGGTGCTTCTGGAAGATGTCGACACAATCTGCAAACAGAGAGGGGTACACTGAGGGCCGCCACTTGATCGGACCAGAGCTGGATCAGCTGGTCGTAATTTACTAAAAAAATAAAACAATTACATCTAAAAAAATTAACTGTTTATATTTATACCCCAATAAACGCCAGGATAAATCTGATAAGTCTGTTTTAGTTACAAACAGGAGTTCCAACTCATCCCTGGTAAYGAAGCAACTTGCTATGTTTCACTCTTATGTTTGTTTAAAGGTAAATAATCTCCCTCAGGTCAATTAGCCCACTTGTCTTTAGTTTCTGTTGATTTTTATGGGTTAGCCGTTAACCAAACTACAATCAAAACTGTATATGAAAATCTACAAACTATACGGCCAATAAGATAAAAAATACTGTTTTCACGTCTACTTTTTGTACTTTGGGCTAGCTAGCGAGCTAACTTCAGCTAAAACACGCTATCTAGCTAGTCGCTCCTGTTTTTGCGTTAGAAGATTTTACTCCAGAGCTGATGTTTTAGTACCTTTTCCTACATAATCATCCTGCCGCTCAACAGTCGTGCTCTTCACGCTCCGTGCGTGGAAATCAGGGACGTCGTCCTCTGCATCATCGGTCAAGAACCCTCCAAGGTCAAGACCAGTGCCAAAGGGGTCCATGAACCCAGTTTTAGAGTCTCCCAACAGGCTTCCCTTTGTGCCACCAGAGCTGAGGGTTTTGGTAAAACTCGAGGAAGATGGGGAGGAGGATGCATGGGTGAGTGTTGGGAACAAAGAGCTCATCCCTCCCTTGGAGAGRTCAGTCGTCCTCTGACACTCGGGCCCTCCACTGTACACTTCCTCTACCGTTTCCACTGGACCGTCCTTTGTTTGGACCACTTTCCTCTTGATGGTCTTGGTGCAGGAGACAGATTTAGTGGACACGTGGCTTGTGCTGGGCTGGCCCAGATCAAACCCCCCAAACCCGAAATTGTCAGATCCTCCGAGCTCGGTGATGGATTTAGATGAGCCTGAGGAAGGGGAGAGAGGAGGGGGTGTGGACGACACGTGGGAAGTAGTACCTGGGACCTTAGATATGGTTGCTGGGGAGGAGCTGGAGCCTTCCTCCTCCAGGACGAACTGAACCGTGTTCACCTGCAAACAGAGGAAACAAAACTTCAAACTAAAGGACAAAATATGTAATTTGAACTTAATTTGTGTCCTCTGCCAGGACAGATGGGAAACATCCAGAATGTAACCGCTGGATATTTATCTACAACTTAATAAWTGTTAACTTGATGAACTGAATTTAAAGACAAAAATGGTTACAACTCAGTCCATTTTACAGATACTGAGTTATAATTTGGTGTGGTAGTAGCTGAGCAAGATCTTTGTTTGTAAGTTGGAGGAAACAGGTGAACTGCATTCAGTTTCTTAAGGAACTCTAGTTGATTTTTCCACAAATATCACAAATCCTATGTCTTTTGGGAAACTCAAAGACCGGGTTCATTCGATTTTTACTGATTTTCCCTTCACTGATGTTTAAGTTGATTGCGTGTCTAACCTGAGGAAACAGGTCCTCCTTCTGCTGAGCCGCCACATCTTTAGATTTATAAATGGAGTCTACAACTGCATCCTTCAGTTTCCTGCTCTTCATCACGTACAGAGTCCCGACCGTCTCGATGTTCTGGGCTGAGCTGGTCTCCAGCTGCTGCACCTGAGGGAAGTGAGTAAAATTAGTGAATTATATTTGAAAAATCTGGGTTATTCCCGTGGACGCAGTAGTATTGTTGCTGTCTGAGTCGTGAGGTTTCACCTGTTTGTCCAGAGTCACGTAGCTGTCCTTGTCCACCTGGTACTGGATGTGACCGCTGCAGGATCCTTTGCAGGAGCGAATCTTGATGTCAATATCAGTCTGACAGGAGAAAAAACAAAATGAGTCAGTATACAGCTGGAAGAAATAAAGACGTGTTCATGTGTGAACATCTGAGTGTCATTCAAACAAYGCTAATGCTAATCTGTATTGTTTTTGTCCCTTCTGTCTCTCCGTACCTCCAGCCTCTGCATGTCAGTGACCTGGCTTTTGACCCGATCCTTCAGGGCCAACAGGACCTTCATCTGCCTGTCGATCCGGATCTTCATTTCTGTGATACTYTGACGCAGATTCTGGGCCAGGTCGTAGTAGGTGTTGTCGTTTCCTGGTGGAAGAAGACACGTGTGAGCTAACRAATCCACTTAAAGCCAACAGCTAAAGCACTAATAGCAAGATTTTAAGTGCTCTGCAGGTTTATACTTAATTTTTTACCAAAGTTAGACAACACACAAAGGCACAGAGTTCTTAGCAAACAGCTGGAAACATAAAATGACAGTTTTAGGTTCCTGACAGCTTCAGAGTAAATCCAGGAAAACTCTCAGGTTGAATTTTACACATAAATTATAATAAACATTCAAAGTGGATCCTAAAAGTGAGCTGAGATCATTAATGATTTTAAAYTAGTAAATGAACGACTGACCAGAGTCGAGGGTGAGTTTCTCCCTCAGGTAGTCGTAGGTCTGTCGGGACACCTGGTCCGTGGACCGGTGCTTGGCCTTGTTCTGGTCCAGCAGGCTGCGGATCTTCTCGATCTTCTTCAGCAGATCGTGGTCGTTTTTATCCATCAGACCCTGGATCCTGCAGCCCGACGGGCATTTAGAGCTCTGCCAGAGCACAGAGAGAAACCTTTCAACTTTTACTGTAACTTATCGTCTTCATTTATTGCCTCGGTTTTAGTTGGTAGAAAACATTAAAGCATTTGTCAGTATAAATAAAATAACATACATGTTTCAGTGAGTTGGCACCAAAAAATACTTTTGTCATCACTTAACAGAAAATATCACGTTTGTTCAACATGAAAAGTTACTTTAAACACTTTAAAAATAAATTGCATGGATATTAGTATATATGTACAGTTG